GGGGGGGGGGCTCCATATTTGATACATTAGTTAAGTTAACTACACAATTACAAATTCAGTCTTGATTTAATTAATCATTTATTTGAATTCAATAAAATCCTTACTTGGTTAATTCTGACTCATGTAACTCCGTCCTCCCTGAAGTTATGTCTATGTTTTATAACAAAGTTCAACACACGAACCCTACAATAAGTATTAGAAAATAGTTGTAGTACAATGTAGTAAAATTGTAAAGCAGATATATTTAACAATATGAACTGGAGAAAAGGGCATTACAAATTGATCAATTATATAAAAGCTACTTGATGCAACAAATGCAAATCACCAAATATATCTATTAAGACTACTAATTCGGAGGCTCCATGACTAACAAATAGTATGTAATCTCTGTAAGAAAATCGGTCTCTCCTGGATCAGGGTTTTTTCTAGCAAACTAAAGACTTTCCTTTTAAAAGGTTTTAATACACATGATTAAGTTACCAATTATTTCTCTTGTTTCTTTGTCAAAACTGTCTCTGAAAAAAGGAAAGGTCAAAGAATGACCAGAAAACCTTTACGTTAATGTACGGGAAGACTAGTGATACCAAGGGTTGTTCATGGTGATGCAAAGCCAACACAAGCTAATGAGGTTCAAACTAAGTGAAACTGGGAGATATTACTTCATAACACAGGGCCGGTTTACTAATATTTGGATTTACCAAAACACATGTACAATGAATAGATCACTCATCAAAAATTTGCTTAAAGAACGTCTATGTGATCAATTTATTCAAAATTGGTTCTCTACTATTGACTCTTCGTCTCGTGGACAGTTCAACTCTATCTTTAAAAACCAGTTTAATTTTGAATCATATCTATTTAAGCTTAATTCCAGCGAACGTACAATTATCAGCAAATTTAGAATGTCGAACTTAAAATTACCCATTGAAACTGGTATATGGGTTGTTATTACCCCTTTGAGAAAAATCTAGGAATCTGATTGGTTAAAAACTACAGTGTACCAAACCGCATTCGTAAATCACAAGGGGTATACGAAAATCTCAGGGGGTATACGGTCATGTCACGTGATTCTCAGCAGTAATACGGTGGAATCACGTGCTTTTACAAGGGGTATACGGGTCACGTGTCTTTATATCTTGCGGCCGGGCAATGGGAGACAATTCCCATTCGTCGTCTGCTTCCGGCGATGTTTACAAAATGACAAAACGTTTCGCTTCGCATACTGATGAGGAAATACTCGCCAAAAGGGCTAACTATGTGCCACAAAACACACAAAAGTCGAACAGACGAGCGGCAAACATGCTG